ACCATTTGAAATTGAAAGATGCACAAGAGGTAGGGTAGGCAAATTAGATGATTATGCAAAACTAGGGAAGGCGACCAACCAAGTAATATTAAGCCTATCTAATTTAGTGGGACAACAAGATGAGAGATTCAATTTGACACCTCATTTCCAATGTAGAGAAAATTACCTTGGAAATGAGATCTGGTACCTCTCAGCTCCTAGCAGCCTGTGCGATATTCAGATCTGCTGTTAGCATGTATATAATCATTTCAGTTTACATCTTGGTCACAGGTTAATTCTAAGTGCTATTGAAGATGCAAGGAACACAGCTTTCCAGGTACTGGGCACAACCTTCCTTATCCTGCACCGCAGGGCATCTTCCCAGCTGGCATCAAAGTTTTTCAAGACAGTGACTGAGTTTCCTTCTGTCTGTTCAGAAAGGCAGTCCTCAGAAGTGCATCTTCCCAGTATTAGGGGGCAAGACCGGAGCACTGGGGAGCCTGACTACCTTCCCAGTTTGCTCTGAAGACACAGGTGAATAGGTGTGAAAATTCAGCTTTTGAGGCATTATCATGTTATTAAAAAGCTGTCCCTGATGCTCTCAAGTCCTTGGAGGTTCTCAAAACTTTAGGGGGGCTTTCCACAAGCAGTAAATTTCAAACACTGACTACACTGCTGGGAGAAATCTGCTACCAGAACAGCAGTTGTATGCCATACTGAGAACACCCAAAATCTCTCTGAGCAGCTGGGCTTGGGAAAGAGGAGGCACCTCTCTGGATACCCTGAAGGGTTAAGCAGCTTGTCCCAGCTTTAAGACTGTAGCTTTCTCCTACTCCCAGCAACCCCAGGGAGTCTGGTTCCTTGTGTGACAGGTCTTGTTTTGACAGACCGAAAATTCAGGCTAAAGTTTGATCTACATTTGCAGGCTTGTGCCTGTTGCCTGTGGATGGCTGCACCAGAGAAGTTGTTCTGACACAACTTTCAGTTGGCTGTATGGATTCAACTGCTGCAGCTTTAATGGTGTGAGCCCTAATAGCAGCATCAGTTGCAGCACTGGGGAAGTAATTTAATTATGTTTATATACTGCTTTGGGGTAAGTGAAAATTCACCACTCACATGGTGGACCTAGAAATGCTGCTTTAATTATACCAGTCTAATGAAAGCAGCAAAAGCTTATTGTAGGAAAGAAGAATCATTTTCATACTGGTTTTAGACGGGTGCAACTTGAATTAGAACTATATTCCTTTGAGGCAAAATTTGTACTGCATCACCACTTCTCACAGAGCCATATTGGGAGTAAAGGTCTTTAAAAGAAAGACGTTTTAAGTTTTGCTTTCTAAGGAAAATCTAGTTCTTCAGTTCTTTTTCATACCAGCTACAGTAGTTTAATTTGATTGAACCAATCTTGCCAAGTCAGAGTTCATTTCTGATTACAAGTTAAGGCTTCTCTTTCCATTAGGTGCATTCAATGGATTTTGACGACACATGGCATCCAGCCACACACCCATCCGGGGCTGTGCTCCCTGCCGTGATTGCACTCTCAGAGGCCTCTCCTCAGAAGAAAAAAATCTCAGGTCTCGATCTGCTCTTAGCTTTCAACGTGGGGATTGAAGTGCAAGGCAGGCTGCTGCGCTTCTCCAGCGAAGCCAGGAATATTCCAAAAAGGTATATAGAAATTCATCAACTAGAAAGTTGAGTGGAAGGGTTTTTTTCTCAGTATTAATATAGTTAATTAAATGCCAGCTAAAATACAAACGGCACAGTTAATCATATTTTCTATGCTGTTTGTCAGGAAAAGTTTATCTTAAACATAAATACACTTACATGACTCCTTACAGCTTATCTATTAGATTTCTTTTTGAGAGCATCTATCAGTTTACAGGAAGAGGTGATGATCTCCCTATTAATTAAAAACAGCAGCAAAAGGGCAACGTTTTAACATCAGAGACTTCAGACTCTCATGAATACGTACAATTATGCCTCACTTGCAAACAGTGGCTTGCTCTCAACAGAAAAAGAGTCACTGGTGCTGGGCTCAGAGCAGAGCCCAAGAAGATGGGGAAAGCCTTGACATGTGGGATGGACTAGATGTCCTCTTGCTATTTCTGAGTGTTTCTTCCACCAGTTCTGCAAAACTGGTTCAGAATAAAAAAATCTGCCTCCCCCAATATGTATGATTTATAGATGACCATAAATTATTTACAGATAATTTATTGATGCCTATGAACTGTGACACTTTTGCCATTACTCTGATCAGTATGCCTTGAACCATGAACTGTTCTAACGTTTCAAATTGCTTTCTGGGGAGGACCTATTGTAAGTGGTACTATTCTAGTTTAACTTGTTCCTGGGGAAAAGTAACAACTTCTACCGTTAGGACCGCACATGAATTCTGAATGTGTAATTCTTTATGATCCAATTCATCTTCCACAGCAGTGAAAGGAAATAGGAACTTGTGTTTATGGTGAATTCAGGTGACTTTTTGAAATATAGTAATGAAGAGATTTTGTTTTCCCAGGTTTCACCCACCAACTGTGGTTGGTACAATGGGGAGTGCAGCAGCTTGTGCTAAACTGCTAGCTCTTGACCGGCTGAAATGTAAAAACACCTTGGCTATTGCTGCCTCCTATGCAGGTGCCCCACTGGCTAACGCAGCCACCCAAACAAAGCCCCTCCACGTTGGCAATGCTGCCAAGCATGGACTGGAAGCAGCTTGCTTAGCATCACAGGGCCTCCAAGGAAACAAACAGATCTTGGACATGGAGTCAGGGATAGGTGCCTTTTATACAGATTACAACCCACAGAGTCTGCCAACCTTGCAGTCTTATCCCTGGCTGTTGGACCAGCAAGACGTGGCCATCAAACGCTTTCCTGCTCATCTTGGAACGCACTGGGTGGCTGATGCAGCATCTTCTGTTAGGAGGAAGCTCGTGGAGAGCAGTGACAACTTGCTCCCCCTTGATAAAATTGAGAAAATAATTCTCAAAGTCCCAGAGGTCAAATATGTGAACAGACCCAGCCCTACCTCAGAGCATGAAGCTCGACACTCCTTCCAGTTTGTTGCATGCTCTGCTTTGCTGAATGGCAGCATGTCAGTCCAGTCCTTCACCAGCGAGAACGTTCACCAGCCAGCCTTGCGGGAGCTCCTCTGCAAAACACAGCTGGAGCACCCTCCTGATAACACACCTAGCTTTGACAGTCTTTACTGTGAAGTGAGTGTCACACTGCAGGATGGCAACACGATCAGTGACCGCTGCGATACGTTCTATGGACACTGGAGGAAACCTCTGAAGAAGGAGGACTTGGAGAAAAAGTTTCAATCCAATGCCTCCAGTGTCCTGCCTGCAGAAGCCACAGAAGGCATTATAGAGACTGTGTACAATCTGGAAAATGTAGAGGATTGTTCTGCATTAAGTACATTTTTATCAGGACGGTCAGCTAGAGCACTTTCAGAGAAGCGGTGCTTCCTTTGAATGTTATGACAGCTAGATGCTGTTCACAAAGCAAACACAAAATTCAGGACAAACTCTTTAGTGCCTTGAGCACTTTTAAATAGGACTCCTGTAACACAAGAGCCACGCTCAGTCCAATATTGTGGGTTTTGGCTAAGTAAATAGTTTAGCAATTATGTGCACAGCTCAGGCTGAACAGAAGATCCTCTGCTGGCACAGTTGACTCAAATTACCTTTACACCTCTAGAGGGAAAGCACTGCTTGTGTGCCACACAAAATTTCCCTGCTCTTCTGCCAAAAATGTCTGTAGATTCTGCTGCTGATAAACAACTCCATCAAGGAAAACCAAATTCTGGAGGAGTAAAAATGCTGTGTCCATGAGAAACATCACTGTGAGAAGGAGAATAAGAGCCTTTATATAATTATTTCTGTAAATTTAGCTTCAAGGCCTCCTTGAAGAGGCCATCTATTACATCCACGCTTTGATGCTTGTGCTAAAAAACCATGGCACACAGTAGTACCACTTGATACTCTGCAATACGTGAGGCTTTGCTGTAACAATTGGTCTTGTACTGATGATGTAAAGGTTTGTGCCCTTCCTGATCACTCCAGCTGCTGAGCAAGAGGGACAACTCATCATCATAAAAGCATTATTTCCCAGTTAGGCCTTTTGGCTGCTCTGACACGCAGGTTTGTTCCTGCTGTATTCCCGCTCCAGTTACAAGGTGCTTACTTGACAAGAAATGATTAGCACTAATTAGTGATGACATGTTTAGATTACTTCAGGCACTGCAAAGCATGGGCTACTGTACTTGTTATGAGTGACAGGGACCTGTGAGCACCCAAACCCTTCTTATGCTGAGACAATTAGGTATCCATAGCAGCACTCAACTTACCTTGATAATGAATTCTCGGAATTTTTAGTTCCTTCAGTATAACGCTTTGTGAGATTGTGTTTCTAAGAGAGGCTGACGACCTTTGTTCACATTTGTAAGATCAAAGCACGTGTTCTAACATATCTAAAATGTACCTTCCTTAGGGCACTGAACTATGTATGCAAAAAAAAGACAAAATAAAGCCAATTTATGTTATTAAGCCTCAAATTATTTAACTTATTACCACAAAACCTGCATATTTTCCACATACAATGTATTCAGTTGTATTTCAGCCTCTTTTAGCTTATGAAGTCAGTTTATCTAGAGGGCTCTGAAAAAATCCCACATAACCACATTCTTTTCTTTTTCCCTCCTGATTACAAAGTAGACATGAATTATTCACCTATACTGAAGGTATGCAGACACATTTACAGCTATTTCAGCTGTAATTATATCTGGGTAACACCAAAAGTGAATTACTGATAATCACTAGTGAACTCCACTGGACAAGGAGAGTTCCTACATTATCTTATCAAAACTGAATACATTCAAATTAATGGGACAAAGAAAGGGGAACTCCTATCACCACAACAACCTTCAACACATGCTTTCTATTTTAAGATATATAAATAGGATAAACTTAGCAATAACCAGATTTAAAAAACAAACAAACAAAGAAACAATCCAAGAATTGTGAAGCTTAGTAGTTGCATTATTTTATTAATACAATCAAAGGAAGCTAAATGCTTATGCTTAGCTAAACTGATTTCCTTACAGAAGTCTGTATGCTTCCAGTCAGGCAAGTTTCAGGACTTCTTGTACCATTGTCCCAATTCCATCAAAGATTTCATGCAGAGGAGCCTTGCACATGAAAGCACAGGTAGTAACTATTTTATTGGCTTTATCCACATGGGATTCATTTACATTTTTGCAAATGTGCTTACATCCAAGCTCTGCAATAGCAGATGCCGTTTCAGCATCAGGAAATCTGTAAATAAAAAGACTGTAATTACCATAAAGAGATGATATAGCCATAAAGTTCTGCCAACATAACTTGAATGAAAGAACTATAATAATATTTAAGTGACCCCTCAGTTGATGATAAGGAAGTCAAACAGACAGCCACTGTCAGGTTTTCCTACCCCCTATGGTCACAACAAGTGATCTAATGTCTTTGAAAACAAGGTCTGAAATGCAGACCCACAGTATGTCAGAAGATATAATTCTGTTTTTAAACAATCTTTCAGTAAGTTTACAAGATGATGAAGCCATAACTGATTCTCAAAAGCTGGAGAGATGCAAGCTGAACTTGCAGACACCTAAGACCTTTTCCAACACTTCTATGTAACATTTTCCGCTGGGACTCTGCAGAGAGGTTTGTGGTTTGTTTTTATGTTTGTTTTTTGTTTGTTGTTGTTTTTTTTTCCCTGAGGAAAAGGGAGGAACAGAAGCAATCCCTCACTAATTTTGCTGATATGAAATTCCACTCAGAAGTTTTATCAGTTGACAGTTCTTGAAGCAGCACTGACTCTGCTCTCATCTGCTCCCCTAAACTGGCCCCAAACCACCACCACCACCAGAAAAACTTCATTAAAAATCCCTGAGCAGACAATAGTCCACAGACACAATTCACACAGCCACTCAAATTACCACAGGGTACCAAGTTTTTGAATGCCAGCTGGCGAGATGCCTGTTCTTCATTTGCACATTTGCAATACAAATTGTGGCCTTCAAAGGCATTGGGTAAGCAAATTCTGTAGCTCACTTAGTACGAGCTAAAATCTATCACTTAATTACCATGAACATAACCTGAAAAAATAACTTGATATCCCTTGAATCACACAATGACAGAATCATCTAGGTTGGAAAAGACCTTGAAGATCATCCAGTCCAACCATTAACCTGACAGTTCCCAACTACACCATATCCCTAAGCACTATGTCAACCTGACTCTTAAACACCTCCAGGGATGGGGACTCCACCACCTCCCTGGGCAGCCCATTCCAACACCTAACAACCCATTCTGTGAAGAAATACTTCCTGACATCTAGTCTAAACCTTCCCTGGCACAACTTGAGGCCATTATCTCTTGTCTCGTCGCTTATTACTGTTACAAGAGGCTCATCCCAGCTCTCTGCAACCTCCTTTCAGGCAGCTGTAGAGAGCGATGAGGTCTCCCCTCAGCCTCCTCTTCTCCAGACTAAACACCCCCAGTTGCCTCAGCCGCTCCCCGTACGATGTGCTCCAGACCCTGCACCAGCTTCGTTGCCCTTCTCTGGACACACTCAAGTCATTCAATGTCCTTTTTTGTAGTGAGGGGCCCAAAACTGAACACAGGAATCGAGGTGCGGCCTCACCAGTGCCGAGGACAGGGCTCAGATCCCTTCCCTGTCCCTGCTGGCCACGCTATTGCTGACACAAACCAGGATGCCATTGGCCTTCTTGGCCCCCTGGGCACACTGCTGGCTCCTGTTCATCGGGCTGACAATCAACACCCCCAGGTCCCTCTCTGACTGGCAGCTCTCCAGCCACTCCTCCCCAAGCCTGTAGCGCTGCTGGGGGTTGTTGTGGCCCAAGGGCAGTACCCGGCATTTGGCCTTATGGAAACTCCTCCAGTTGGCCTCAGCCCATGGCTCCAGCCTGTCCAGGTCTCCCTGCAGAGCCTCCCTACCCTTGAGCAGATCAACACTCCCACCCAACTTAGGGTCATCTGCAAACTGACTGAGGGTGCAGTCGATCCCCTTGTCTAGATCATTAATAAAGATGTTAAACAGGAGTGGCCCCAAAACCAAGCCCTGGGGGATACCACTCGTGACCAGCCACCAACCAAAATTAACTCTGTTTGCCACAACTCTCTGGGCCCGGCCATCCAGGCAGTTTTTTACCCAGCAAAGCGTGCGATCATCCAAGCCGCAAGCCATCAGTTTTGCCAGGAGAGTGCTGTGGGAAAGGGTGTCAAAGGCCTTGCTAAAGTTAAGGTAAACTACATCTAGAGCCTTTCCCTTATCCAATAAGCAGGTTGCCTTGTCATAGAATATCAGGTTTGTCAAGCAGGACCTGCCTTTCATAAACCCATGCTGACTGGGCCTGATCATTTGGTTATCCCGCATGCGTTGTATGATGGTACTCAAGATGAGCTGCTCCATCGGTTTCCCGGTCACTGAAGTCAAGCTGACAGGCCTGTAATTTCCCGGATCATCCTTCCAACCCTTCTTATAGATGGGCATCACATTGGCCAATTTCCAACCTGTCGGGACCTCCCCGGTCAGCCAGGACTGCTGGTAAATGATGAAAGTGGCCCGGCGAGCACCCCAGCCAGCTCCTTCAGCACCCTCAGGTGTATCCCGAAAGGATCACAGCATCCCTTGGTCATCTCCATGTTTGCGCAGCTATGATTCTATTAAAGTCACTTTGTTCTGTCACTTTTAGGACAGACAGCTATGTTCAGTGACTCAGTAACACCCACACTGCACAATAAAGACAGTGCAGGAGCCTACGTTACCTTTGGTGGCTTATAGAGCGACAGCTTAGGCAAGAGATAAGGCTACCTAAAGTTTTTATATTATTAAATGTAATAGTATTAATCATAAAGTATCATATCTATATAATAGATACGATAGTTGACATCATAAAACATATCACCAACCAAGGTATTTCTGAATTTAGAGATAAATTTTTCCAATGTTGCGGCACACAAGTCACCTGACATCGCAGGTTAAGTCTGTCTGCCCTAAGATTTCTGCGCCTACTACTATCATGCAAGTGAAAATTTGAAGTAAGTGAAAAATGTCACCAATACGGTACCCAGGGGTTACTGGCAGCAGAGACCTCAAGAGTTTTTCACAGAGGACTGGCCACTTCCTAATCCTAATTCTCATGTGAATTATCTCCATGCATTTCCTTCTTACCTTCCATCTATGTTTTTATCTTGGCCGACTGTAACCTCACAACCAGGAAAGACTTTAGCTGCCAGGACTGGTGATATACAGCACAAACCAATGGGCTTTTTAGCACTGTGGAAAGCCTGGAGTGCGGAGTTCACATGCTCATGGACAGTGCAGTTCTTGCCATCTACAGCCCAGGAACACAGGTTCTTTGCTACACCAAAACCACCTAAAAAAACCCAAAAAGCTCAAATGTAAGAGACTGCTAAAAGCCATTAAATTCAATAGCAGACAGAAGTTCTGTTTTTTTTAGAACATAATCTTGGCATACATAGGACTATTAATTTGCTATACTGAAAGCTTTCAGCATGTAACAGATGATAGGTTTACAATATTATAAATTTAACTGCCTGGTTTTTATACCATGTATGTTACAAAGGCCAGAAATTTTGCTTCAAGTGACCAACAAATAAATAAATAAATAGGAAAACTCAAATTCATTTGCTAGTCACTGGAAAGGCTGCACTATCTGATATATACCGCTCAGTAAGTGAGCGATCAGAAGAAAGATCAATGATAGTTAAAAGTAGAAGAGTGTAATTCACAAGAGTGAAACGCAATTTGACCCTGTACAGTAATTTAGGCTCAAGTTTTAGTCCAATACTTAAGAAATTATAGGAGAGCTTAATGGATATTACACAAAAAGGAAATTATACTCTGAGATATACCACTTGTGAATGATAACAGAATTTCCTTTTAAAAATAAAACAATGCTGGATTTGTCTTTTTAGAAATTAGAACAGTCCTTTACTTGCATTGTAAAAGCAGGTTGTAATTTACAGCACCTGTTTGCTGGATTTATAACCATCAGAACAACCAAAGTAAGAAGGTTATTAGTAAGTGTAACCATCCATTATCTTTGATTCTATTGGGATGTGTACAGCATCAACTTTTCTACAATAAACAAACAGAAATTTCCACAAGCATTTCAATGGACAACATCAAGTTTTAAATTTTTAGTATTTTTCCTTTCACTCTTTACTCACTTTCAAGTGTTATCTTGTATATCTGAGGTAAGATTTTAGTTTTCAAACTTAGTAGGGTTTATTTCCCTTTAACAGTTATTAGAGCAACTCCCCTGAGCCTGGGTTATAACAGCATGAAATTAACATCAAAAATACTTGCTCGCCTCTACTCCCCCATCAGCCCTGATGTCAGCCGCTCATTTTAGCGCTGGAAGTGTGTTTCTCTGCGTTATACACGTACTCCCTCTGCTGGCCTTACAACAGAATACAGTGTAACTAACTTCAAAATTAACACTTCAGCACAATCCTAAAGGCAGTATTTAACAGTACTATGAATACTCTGGAAAGTGATCTTCAGTAATGTATAATTTCCCTGTGATGCTTTAGTTTCTTCACTTCTGAAGTGATTACAATTATTCCCATCTGAAATGCAATTCTGTGGTCTATAAATAAAAAATTATCCATAAATATGTTTAGTATAACTTGATCAGCAGTAGACCAGATACATAATTAAAACAAAACGTACTCACATCTGACAGAGAATATAATCTATCTGGCAATCTGCTATTCTACCAACAATTTCAAAATCCCTAAAATTAAGGCATTGCCATGCAATACCAAGTTCTGGCCATAGTCCGGTCAGTGTTCTCCACAAGTAGGTGCTAAAAGTTTTCAGCATCCTTAGAAAGAACAGTGTGGTGTATAACTTGGAACAGTGTGATGTATAATTTAACATCAATAGAAGGCTATAGCATTTTAAATTAACGAACTGTAAATTAATAAACTGAGATGACTTACCAGTCCATGAGAGCTTACTAAAACTTTTTCTCATCCTCAAAAAGAAAATACGTAAAAAAGGAAAAGAATACATACCTCTCAAATTCAAGAGCGTAATTTATTCTCTAAACATTTTAAAATTTTAAAAGTATCAGAGACAAAGCAGTTATTTGCAGTTAAAAAACCACAAAAAAATTCTTTTAAAAGCACCTACCAGGGAAAATGACCGCATCAAATTCACTAGCTTTCAGTTCAGCCAAATCCTGAATGTTTCCTCTTGCCAGTCTGGCACTTTCAACTAACACGTTTCTTTTCTCTTCTGTTGGACTTCCTTTTAGGTGATCAACTACATCCCTTTGCTCAATATTGGGGGCAAATATCTTCACCTAAAATATAGAAATTAAGCAATTTTATAACTGTAAACAGAACTCATACATATTAGTCACATTAAAGACCGTTTAACAAAACCAGGTTTTGTGTCTTAAGTCTCTTACCCAAGAGAAGTGGATTCCACATTAACTATCTAAAGTGACAGGTGACATTAGGATGGGTAAGCCTGGCCATCCTCCCCATCCCATTCCTGCAGCTTTTTGACAGGAGTGCATGGGGAGAGGGGTGAATAAAGAAAAAGGGGATGGCAAGATAAGGAAAGAGATCATGGTTGAATAGGCTTTGTAGTGTGCAGCGGCGGTGAAAAAAAACCGTGGCGAAGCAGGAGGGGCTCCGATCCCACAAACGGCGGCATGGCCTGCCCCGCACCCCGGCACAGAGGGGGGTGCGGAGCGGGAGGGAGGGCCAAGGCGGGGCTGCCCCGGCTGCTGAGGGGCGCGAAGAGACCCGGGAGACACACCTCCACCCCC